TTAGTCGAGAATCGATTAATTTTATGGAAGAAAACCTTTCAATCAGCCGTACTCCACAACCTTCACACGTGTCGGGCTGTGATTGGAAGGACTCGTAAGAAATCGAATTCCTAAAGAATGGAACGTATCTATGATCTTATAGGGGGTCGACTGTATCTATATCTATATCTATATCTATATCTATATCTATATATAAAAATGGACATGTATGTTCCTATATTTCACTTTTTCGCCAAAACTACACATCGCACGTGAATGGTGTTTGTATGTGGTGGTAGCCCCAAGTCTCCATTCGTGCATAGGGGTGGTTGCGTCTCGATAGCTATAAGGATGCGGGAGATATGAGGCTGAAAGTCGAGTGGTCTCCGTTGCCGCTCATCGTAGTGGTGACCAGACCCTAAAGACTGGGAGGTTCGTCGTGGGTTCGCGCCACGGTCGGACAGGCTGGCTGCTTGGAGTTTTCCGGGTTTTCTCCTTGCCTATAACGACTGAATAGGAGGCCAGTTCCCCATAAAAGTCCTCCCGGAAGGCATTTATTTCCCGCGCGTANCTGGTCGTAAAAGTTCTCTAATTAGTCTGGAAACGGGGGACCTAATTCTTGCATTCTGTGAAAACGGGTAAGATTTGCTATAATATAATTATCTTAATTTTCACTATCGTTACTTTTTAAAAGCCCAGCGAAGCGGGTCCTTGCAGCTAGATTCTAGATTACTTAGAAAAACAGTCTTTTATATGTATAAAAAAACTATACTATTACATACAAATAAAAACCCAGCGAAGCGGGTCCTTGCAGCTAGTATTTCATAAAAAGACTTTTGTATAGGGAGACTGCGGCTAGTTGTCACAATTTTTAGTCATTTCTAGTTTTAGTATCTATAATATCAATTTATTTAGGTTTAAGTGAAAATGTATACACCTACACGTTTTGATTTGGTTTATAATAAATATATGAACATTCAATAAATTTTTGTCATAGGTTATTAATTATTTTAGAAACTGTGTTACCTTGTAGAAGTATATTTATACTCCTACTAACTTAAACTACATATACCCTGTGTCGCAGGGTTTATGTAGTTTAAGTTCTCATATTTCCTAAGTTTATTTTGGTTATGTTAAGTTATGCGTAATATGACATTTACTCGTTCCAATTCTATAAAGAAAATAAATTACTAATTTACTATTATTTATTTTGCGAAAGACAAGTAACTCAAATGTTTACATATTGTCTTCAGAGTCACAGTTATGACAAACATAATATGGATTTACATCTATACATAACTCGTGAGACCAAACTCTCACTACAAAGCAAAGAGAAGTTCTTTTCTTTCTCTTCTGATGAGTCAGTCTTAGTGACAGGTTGCCCCGTTTTGTGTGTGACAATTTGCCCCAAATGAATTTCCTTGACAAATCGGTTCATAGTTTCTAATTTCAAAATAGAAAATTCGATTGCTATGTAATGTATATACAGTATACATTAATGACCCATCTAATAGGAAATACAGTTGTTACTCACCTTTTTCTTATTTTAACATTTCAAACAGCACAAGACATGATGCATCATAATTTAGCCACTCGCTGTAAATCTCTTAACCGCTAATTAACGGAAAACAATGCAACGGATATTAGTCGAATTTTGTAATGACGTAGGCGACCGGTAAATGAACCTACCCTAGATGACGTGATCATTCAGTTTTGATTATATAGGAGATACACTGTGACAACTATCCCCGGTCTCCCCTACTTAATAATTATACTATTTATTACAATTACTTGAAAAATTGTTTATTTTTACCGAAATATTAATACAGAAATCATAGAAATAAAATATTCTGTACTATTATCAAACTATTTTTCCTTTTCTCAAGGAATGTAGTATACAATTAGTATAGAAAGTAGTTATTTTAAACTATAGATTCAATAATAACGATAAATTTTAATTTAATATACAAAATTTCCAAAATGAATTCTACAGTTTTAAATAACTGTAATTATATTATATGAGAATTTGCGATGTTCACCAACCAATGGAGTGTTTCGAATTTCATTTCAATTTGCATTCAATTGTCTTGTTGACTGTTGCTTCTAGGAAGAGCCAGAAACGAAAATGGAAACTTAACAAGAGACGGAGTATTGTGTTTTGCAGTTTACAAAGTCGGAACGACTTATCATTCTGCAACATGGAAAATCTTCAGGAACTATAGAAATATGGTGGCTGCTGTTTGGGGATTGAAAACAGATATGCAGGAGCGAGGATTCGGTATCGGTTTAAAGAATGCTGTAAGACGCGAAGTACACAAATTGAAAAATTGTAACGAATACATACCGGTTTTTTTTCAATACTGTAGTGTATATAACAACATTCACGGATAATATTTAAAATAAAACAATTTAAAACGATAAAATACTTTTTGAATGATTCAACAATATATTAAACTTTTATACAGGATATGGGTACATAAATATATGTTTTTCCAGAGAGCCACGGACGGCGATGCTAGAAATTTAAAGCGATTGCTTGACTCAAACAAACTTGAAAAAGCTCCGTTCAACAAACACGTAATAACTCGAGTAATAAACGAGAAATTTGCATATATACACTACGAAGCTCCTATTGAAATGCTTCTCAGCTGTTACGGTTCAGAAAATTTTCTAATTTCTAAAGATGGATTATTTACTATCAACATAGGATTTGCTATGTCAAAAAACTTTCCTTACAAGAGAGAATTTAATAAAGTGTAAGTTGCTTTTTAGAATATTAATGTAGACATAGGTATAACTTTCAATATGGTTAATGTTAATCTTATAATATGAAATAATAAATTTCAGAATATTTCGTTTCGTTGAAGGAGGATTTTTAAAGAAATTTATTAAAGACGACGACAGAGAAAAAAAGAAAACGGTACTTTCTCCGGAGAATAATTCAGAAGATACACATGCCTTGAGTATTACTGATTTGGCTGGATCTTTCATTCTTCTTATCATAGGTTATACTGTAGCAACTCTTACTTTTTTCGTTGAGCTTATAATAAGAGCATGTAGGTGTAGAAACGAAAAGCTATTTTGAGAAAAATAATAGAATAATTCCCATTTTCTGATAAGCTAGATAAATTCCTACGCACGATTTCTCAAAGGCTTGAACATTCCAATATACATTCACGTTTTGTCGTATTAAATATTTCATATTTTAATAATGAATAATTAANCCGGCCCATTTCGTATCATATCCAAATTAAGTCCTGTCACGTTCCTTATTGAAAATATTCAAACGAAGAAACAACTCCAAGTTCATGCTAATAGATTGAAACATTGCACCGCTAGACAAGAATTCGAAAGGTCAGAAAGTTTAGACCGATTTCCTACACCCACATCTACACAACCAAAGGTATTATCCCGCCAACCTTCCCTAAGTGCAGACCCATGGGACGAATTTATCCTCACCGAAATTCAACCACAACCAGAAACGGACTCAGAATCAGAGGAAGACGATTCCGAAAGTGAAGAAAAAATAATAGAATCTACCCCTAGAGAAGAACCAAGAGAACCTACTTCCTCTCATTCGTATGCGTTACGCAGCCGGGGACCAGTGGAAGAACGTCCCTGGATTCTCCCGACCCCTAGACGAAGTCGAATTCCCAAACGAAAGGCTAGTCCACCAAAGGAAGGAAATAGCGGTCAGTCAAAAGTAACAAGACAGAGTTAATTAAGACAACAGACAAAATTTACAAGAGAGAGAGAGAGAGTAGATTATAAATCCATTAAACCTCTGTATATCGCGAAAAAATATATTGTCGGAAATAATTAATTAAAATGATAATCATATCAATGTCGGAAATAATTCATGTTAGTATTATTCACTCAAAGAGAGAGAGAGAGAGAGACTCTTAACTATATTATGTTTACAAAACGGGTCCTTATCATTTTCAAGTTAAATTTCATCGAAATCAAGGAAATACTCTACGTCCTGTACTGTACCTTCCATCGAAACTTCAGCTTATTAAAATCGATCTTGCTCACTCAGAACAAGCCCGATTTTGGAAAGGCCGGGGTGATGTGAGGGACGAACAGACCCACAATAAAGTGTTATTTTAAATTTTAAGTATTGGAAACTTTAATCGGTTAAATTCGAACGTTTTATCGAGTTAGGCTAAAAGCCATAAAAATTATTTCCCACGGGGTTTGTTCCTTGTTGAGTCGGATCAAGTTAGTCAGGGATGTGTCACCAGGAACTTTGAATGGAAAAGACATATTGGACTGGCGACCGTTAAAGGCCATCACCTGACCTCATGGAAAAAACCCAAGAGGAATGAAAAAGGAAAAAAGAAAAACCGACCCCGAAGTCAGTCGTCATCCGAAGTCCCTCTGCAGAAGTCGTCATCCGAGGATTAAAACCGTGATCCAGGATTCAAACCGTGCCCAGGATTAAAACCGCTACCCAGGATAAAACCCGTGCATCAAAATTCCGAAATAACACCTTGACAAAAGTAACACCGTGTCTCCTTAAGAATCTCACCCCACTTCCGTGCTTCCACACCTCCGAGATCCAATTAACGGACAAGAACTAGTGGAAAGACCATTTCAGAGGAGTCAAGAGTGTCATCATACGATAGATCTGCGACCTAGGAAAAAGAAAGGTATTTATCAACCCGCGATCCGGTTGTCAACTCTCTCTCTCGAACGGAATAGTATAATTAAGTCCGCTAATATGCCCGATATCTCTGTATTTTCTTTGTTTATTATTAAAATTGATTTTTTGTTAGAAAATATGGAGTCCGAGTGAGTCACTTCCTCGTCTCTCTCCTCACCTCTACTCCGAATCCAAGCGCTCACACGCTACCGCTCGCGAATCTCGTGACATAAAGTCGCGTTTTCCGAGTCCCTTAGAGACTCGGTGGTGTCATCCTGACAGGGCGCCGAAGAGGTGCCGACCCTACGGTCACACAATACTCTAAATTCAATAATAACTTTTCTTATAATTTTACTTATTTTACTTATCTTAAAATTCAAAATTTATTTAACATATATGGATCAAATAACAGTATATTGCAAGGACCAACGACAAATCAATTTCTCGAAATTCGTATTATGTGAACATAGCGATAAAATAAGAATGATGTTACGTCGTTATTCAAATATATCATCTGTCTCTCTTTACTTACCATACTCGTCGGATGTTTTGAAACAAATCAAGGAGTGAGTATCTGTAATTATCTTTCAAATACTTACGTTTATATATTCTAATTTACATTAATATCGTTATCTTCTGTTATAACGATAATTACAATCAGTACATATATATAGTGGTTCTAATCACATTTTCTGTTTATAGATATCTGGAAGAAGGACGAGAAACCATAAAATCAATGGCCAATGCAACGGACATATTCTGCATATGCAAACGATTAGGCCTAGGAAATTTAAATCAAGCATGTCGAGATTTCATGACCGATCCGTCAAGAATTAAAAACTTGTGTTATGTATATGACTTAGCATGCCAACAGATCGATGGGAGATTAGAATATTTATGCTGGAATATATTTAATTCGAAATGGCAGGAAATTTTCTCATCGGACGAATGGCTGAACTGTGAAGCAACAACTATGGATAGACTCGTTCGCAGGCCAATAAATCGATTTATTGAGGAAGCAGATATTTTCTCAATAGTTTTAAAATGGGCCAAGAAAAGAATTAATAATGAAAATTCTCTAAGGCAGGTGCTGAAACCATTCCTTCAATACATAAGATTTCTGACAATGCCAGAATGGTTTCTGGAATCTCAAGTATTCGTTGAACCTGTCTTAACGGACGTAGAGAGCTAAAACGGTTCGTGAATAATATGTTCCGGCTCGAAACGAAACACGTGCGCTTCAACCGGTATGTATTGTTCGTACTTGCTTCTGTCGACTTCGGGCTCTTCCTTTTCGTCGGAGTCGTCCGACGAAATCTCTATTACGACGTTTTTACTGGTGGTCGGTTCGTCACTGCCGGCCGGTGGCGCCTTCTCCCCCTCGTACTTGTCCAGCTGTCGGAAAATGAACCGAATTGCGCACGGGTTGGATTGTGCCACCGAACACGTATGCACGTATGCAACGTTATGCATCGTGTCGGCCCACCCGTATTCATACTTACTCTGGCCTGGAGGGACTTGACGTGTTCCCGTTCACACCGAAGCTCGGCCAGCAGCACCTCCACGTAATCGGGCTCGTAGCCCCCCAGGCTCCTGATCATAACCCTGCAGAGAAACGAAAGGACATTGTTAGCGAACCGTTCGTTTAACGATATGGCGGCTGGGCCGACCCGAAACAAATACAACAACAACTTACGCGTTTGTATCGGAGGCCATCTCCTTCCCGGAAACCAGATGTTGTAAAGCTGAAAACCAGAAGGTAAGGGTTACGATGCGTCAGCTCGACGTATAATGAATAATGTGCGCCGAAATTATACTGACCGGCTTCGAAGGCGTTCATGACTCCCGTTCTTTCCAATATGTCGAAGAGCCTGTCGACAGCCTCTTCCCGCCTAACTTACTGTAAGGGAACGAAAACAGTGTTTCAAAGTGTTACGCGTCGTATTCTGCCACGTATGAAACTGTTTGCAAAGGAAAGTGATCGGCATCACGACCGAAACGGCTCCTCACCTGCACCGATTCATCTGAAGAAGTTGAATCGATAGTGTACTCCATCGTCCCAATTTACTGGACTCTCGCTGCGATCCCGTCCTTTTATGCTGACGCTATCGCGGCCGAAAATGCAAATCTCACGTCAGCGCCACGTCGCGACGCGCCGAAACGGACTTGTCGGCGCGCCGATCGGCCGCCCGTCTGTCGGAACCCTCTTATCGCTCTGTTATGTCGACAACCATACACACTCGTTCGTGAATCCATCCCGTTCCCTTCTCTCCTCACGACCCTCCGTCGGACCCCGTTACATCCGGCCGCCTTACCATTTCCGGCTATCCTCGTAGGCCCGTCGCGTCGCCAGTTTCGGCCGCCGCCTACCTCCGGATGCCGCACTTTTCTCCTGCAGCATGCATCCGTTAACATCAGGTGCTCACCTGCCTCCGTGTCGACGGGCCCTTCCGTCTCCCTCCCTTACCATTTGCTGCCTTTCCTGTTTCAGCCTTTCTTAGTCGCGTCCGCGTGTCGCCTTTTTCGCCCGCGCTTCTCCCTCCGGATGCCGCCTTTTCCCCCGTAGCTTCCCTCCCTTCGCATCCCCCGGTCCCGTACCCGTCTGTCGAGGTGCCCCTCCGTTCATGCAGTTGCAGCTGCTCCCTTTCCGACGTCCGGCTTTTCCGGTTGAGCCGTCGCGTGTCGTTTTCGGCCCGCCGCCACCGCTTCTCTACAGTCGTCTCTCTATTGTATATTAACAATTATTATTAGTAGCGATAACTTGTATTAATCGCCGCAAGTGTGATAACGCTTTGATGGATTCTATAATATTTTATAGAATCCATCCTCGCGGACCTGCCCTCGGCCTACAGGAAAAAAATTCCTGTCGGCCGAGGGCAGGTCCGCGGCGGAGGCCGCAGCGATCGTTACCTAGGGCGGCGAACCCGGCCCTCGCGGTAACAAGTACCGAGGCGGCGGGGGGACGGCGACCGCCGACAGCCGCTCCGCCTCGCGACGGCGTTTAAGTTCGCGCCGCCAAAAGTTACGGCCGGAACCGGACGACGTAAGCTTCCTTCGATACCCGGAGACGTCCGCTGCGCGTTCCTAAACAGTCGTCGCCCGACAGACGCACGCGCGCGGCGCAAACAACGCATAATCGCGAGAGCGGCGAATCCGAAAATTTGCTCCCGATCGATTTCGGGACGTCGCGAAGGACACGGATTTGGACACGCGAATTTAAACCGGACAAATTATGATTTTTGTAAAAGGCCAACCTGGCCACAGTGTCTTTTTAGAAAAATTAAAATTAAATATTAAATATTAAATAGATCTTTAATATGAAAATAAATCTTTAATATGGATGTAGTAGTAGTAATATATATATATGTATGTAAAGGGAAACCAGTGTCTTTCGAGAAAAATTATAATTATAATTAAATTAAATTAAATCTTAAATATAACTGTAATATGGAAATAAAATTTTAATATGGATAAAGTAGTAGCGTCATCTACAGTATTCAGACCTACTTTATCCTGATGCGAGCAAATTGCGATTATTCATTTTTTTTACCAATCGTATGATGCCGGGAAGTTTAAATTCGATTTATATCGACAGACAGACGTCTCAAATATCATATTTATATTATTTTTCTCTCTTTTATTGTAATTTCTCGCGAACTGAAAAATATAATCCAATAAAAAGGTCGATAAACCGACTTCTGGTATAAATTCTAATTTTCCTGGAAACCCCATAAGTACTGTACATTCATAATATTTCTTTAACTGCTATACTCGTCTTTTACAACTGCCACACGATCTCTCGGGACAACACCAGTCGTCTTTCACTGTCAAGGGGGTAGCGAATAATATAGTTATGAATTCCTGAAAGTGTTGGCCGTCATCCGAATCGGAATATCTTACAGTTACAATAATCAGACTAATAGCAGGATGGGAAACCTTTCCGTAATTCTGTCAGTTCATAAAACATTTGAACTGACGCGTTCAAACAGTAGTCACTGAAGGTATAAACTCTTTTCCATGACAGCTTTAGCTACATCCGAATTAATTATAAATGAAATAGTTATGTTTATGAAATGATCTTCCTGTTTCTAGAATAATTTCAAAACAAACGTTCTATAAATATATACATATATACATATACATATTATTACAATTGTAAACATGCTATATTACATAAGTGCGCACAACGGATTTTTAATTACTTACATGTAATGTTAAGTATATGATAAAGACATTAATAATCATTCATACGTATTACATGTAATAATTTACCCTCAATTCATACGTTTTAAAAATAATTTAAATAAATAAATAATTTGTTAAATTAGAAAAGATACAAGAGAAAGAAATGAAAATGCAAATATTTATTAAACATTTTTTGATAAAATAAGAAATTTATTGCTAGCCAATTATAATAACATATTCATCGTTTTAGCTTAAAAGGTTACACTTATGAAGTAATGTTATGCTTCGCGGTTATAACTTCTAGGGTTATTTTGCTTGTTTATAAATGTGAACAGTACTATATATGTGTATATATAATATATAATATACTATATATATATAGCATTAATTACAACAACAATAACTACTTTACAAGTTATAAATTGTTACTATTGTATTGTTTTATTTAATTTATTTGCAGACAACGAATTGGGAAATTGGAAAACGATATCACGGGAAAGTGTTTCGCTATGCCGACGGGTGCGGCTACTAGCTCGATTTCCAGTCGCCAGGTCGAGTCGAACGGACCGGCAAATCCTGCCCGTAGCCGGCTTCGTCCGCTTCTCGCGGAACTTTCCGTCGCTTTAGCAACGCGTTATTAGGAATCTCTATGCCGAAGGGTTCGGCCGATCGGTCGATTTCCCGTCGCGAGTTCTACACGTTCATTCGCTTTCCGGTTAGGTTTCGGGCGGTTTTTTGACAATATTAGAAAGGACAAAAAACTCCCGTTCCTCGCGACCTAATTCTCGCGCGAACACGGGCCGGCCGTCAGTGCCGAAGGCTGCCTGCACGTTCCGCCGAGCACACGGATTGGTCGGCGGCCGTTGAAAATGCATCGTTCCTTGTTATTTGCAACCACCGAATATGCCAATTCGTTTCCGATGCGTTTTTATGTATTTATCTTCCCTCTCCAGTTTGTGTGTGAACGGACATACCGTGCTGGCGCGAATAACTCACAGCGCGAATTACGTATTTCATGAAAACAGCAGCAGTTCAAAAACGTCCAGTTTTTTTCAAAGTTGTTACCTATTATCGTAGTAGGAGCTTTCCGTAAACAAGGTCAACAAGCCTTCCGTAAAATAGCTTGCCGTTTTCGGTCTGTCCTTGTTTATCATCCCCGATAAGTACAGCGTTAACAAATAAGTTCGTTCCGTTCGCCGCCTGGCGTACTGGTTAACCTGGTACCCGCATGTTGCAACGGACAACGTAAATCGTTGACGGAAATGGTTTCCGCTCCGTCGTCTTTGACGTACTGCATTTGATGTGCGGCACATCGCTATTATTCACTCGCATTAATGACAACAACAATTGTATTAACAATTATTATCCGCACTGACGATAAATGTTGACCGCCGCACGATTAACTGCATTTTTATTTATATGTGTGGATAACCCCCTCTCTCTCTATCTAGCTGTATTTCGATTCTCCGGCGATAGATGGCGCCACGTGTACATACATTCACAAACAATCGATGTACGCGATAAATTACTACTTTTTACATATCTATTAATAATAACAATAATTAATAATATTAACAATATTTATATTGTATATTAACGGTTATTATTAGTAGCGATAACTTTTATTAATCGCCGCAAGTGTGATAATGCATATTTCTTTACATCTTTTTCGGAAAAACATTTTTTATACGCTAATACGATAGAACATTTAAACGGAACTTATTTTGCTTAATTTAAATAAAAATTTGCAAACTTTATTGTTAAAATAACTTATTAATTTATTTCAATTTTTATACAATGTCGATTCCGTGTTTTGCAGACCCCGTATCATGCAATCCAAGCTCAACCGCACCCGACATAGCAATCTTCCTTCTTTCCAAATCCTCAACCGTATTATCTCAGTTTCCACTTGTAAAGTACTATATTATATTTCCGACTTTCCAACGATCATCGACACTACTGTGTGCCGGAAATAGCCGTTCCCTAACGGGTACTGTACGCGTGCACCGAAATAAATAATGACAAACTTTGTCAATAACAAAATCAAATATTTAATTAAACTTCTAGTAATAAACTATGTACAGTATTTAGTAAAAAGCAAACAATATTTTATTCAATGAAAGTCAACACGAATCAATCTGACAAACTCAAATCAATCTATTTCTAACTTAATTAAATTCCCCTTTGGAATTCGACAAAATCAAAAAAAAAAATTAACCTATTAACTTCTCGTAACTTATTAAAATTAACCTAACCTAAAATCAAAAACATTATCTTACTGAATTATTTCCTGAAGATTAAAAATTCGATTATGTGTTTTGCAAACCCCATACCAGGACATCTAACTGCACTTATACCCAATATATCAATCTTTAAACTTTTCATTTCCTTAACCATATTATATAATTCTCCAATTTCAAACTTTGTAACGCGATCGAACGTCAAAACGGAGATACGACGTTGTATTTCAATTTTGTTACGTTTATTCATCCATTACCGTAAAAATTATCAGAACGGAAAATAATAATCCACGTTTTATCATTTTATTATGTAAGTAATTTTTATTAGCGTATAAGGCTAAAGCCTGTTACAATAACGTTTTATTTGGATGAAATGCATATTAACATTTCATATAATACTTTTTAAACAATAATAAAATTTTTTACTAATCTATATAATTAGATTAATAATTTGGTATAATTATTATTTAATTAGTTGTTTAACGTTGTTATATAACATGTAAATCGTGTTAATCTAATTATATTATCTATTAAT